GGCGGCCACCATGAGCACAGGCCTGCGGTACAAGAGCAAGCTGGCGACCCCAGGTGAGCCTGGCGCCTGCCCGCGCGCCCGCGCGCGCCTTTGTCCCCGCCGCCCGCCAGCCTGCCTCTCACCGTGTCTTTCCTCTCTCCCCCGCCCGCCGGCCCGGACGCGGACCCTGACCCGACCCCGACCCTGCAGAGGACAAGCAGGTACGTGCGCGCCGCCGCTCCCCCCCGGGCCTGCTGTCACCCATTGTGGCACCAACGCTGCCGGCGCCCAGGCGCGACCCCGCCCCCGCCGGCCGTCATCCCACCCTGTCGCGATAACCGATTGTCAGCTGGGGCAGTGCCGCCGCGCCTGGGGCTGCGAAGGGGAGCAGTGGGCGCCGGGGCGCTGGGGGCCTGGCCCTTGACCCTTACAGCACAGGCGCCCCTCCCAGGCTGGGGGGATGGGCCGGGTGTCCCTCTCCCACTGATCCAGCTCCAGCATATCCTCCCTGACCTGGCCTTGGGCCTCGTTGCTGGGGGTCTTGAGTGGGGGCACAGACACTGGCAGGCCACAGGCTGGGGAGGGGTCTGTGTCCACCAGCCAGCACCTAGAACCTGAGCAGCCCCACCCCACTCCTGTGCATCTTCTGCCTCTTCTTCCACACACACCAGTTTGAGTGGGCTGATCTGTGGCCAGGCCTCTTCCCCAGACTGGGAGCCTCCAGGGCCTGGTCTGGGTCTGAGTCATGCCGGTGCCCAGTGCGGGTCTTCCATCCTAATGGGTACAAATAGGCTTGTGGCTTTCCAAAGGGGCTGGCCTGGTTCCTACCCTCCGGGAAAGCAGGACCGGACAGGAGGCTGACCTGGGCACCCACTGTGGAACCCAGCTGAGGCTGGGGTTAAAAAGAGCTGGGAGACCCTGAGAGTGGAGTAGGGGTGGGTAACCAGGTGGGCAGGGGGCTCTGGGGCAGCCCTGCTGGGGGCCTCTCTGGCTTGAGCTCAGTCACATTTGGGGGATTTTCTGGACCCAACTCTGGCACCAAGGTAGCCTTGGCAGCCCTTTTCAGGGATAGGAATTTACACAGTGGGTAGATGCTGGGTGGAACCCTGAAGTCCTGGTCCAGGGTGCGGTGGCAGCCCCAGGAGTGACCCAGCAGGTGGGGTGGGGGCCTGGAGTCACTGGCTCCTAGGTGCCAGTCTCCTGGCAGGGACACACCCAACCCTGGGACAGGTGAGGCTCTTAGGGAGGGGCCCCTCAACCTCCCCCTGCTGGCAAGGGCTGCTTCAGGGAGCCCGAGCCAGGAGCTGCCTTCCTATCAAGGCAGGTCAGACAATGCCTGAGATGCAGGGACACATGCTGCCAGGCTATTGTTTGAGGGAGAGAGAGAGAGAGAGAGAAGGCCCGGGAGACCAGCCCCCACAGCTTCTCCTGGGCCTGCAGGCACTTGGAGTCACTGGGCCCGGCAGCAGCTGCCCAGTACCACACAGGGACCCCCTGCTGCAGAGGTAGGAATCCCTTCAGGCCTGTGTCTGCCCATCCTTTGTGGTCAGTTAGGAGGCAGCCTCACCCATCCTCTGCCCCTAGGACCAGAGAGAGAGAGGGCACCATGCAGCTGGAGCGGGGGGAGCCCTGGGAACAAAGCCAGGGAGCCAGGTGTTTGGGGCGGGCTCCCCGAGGATCTGGGGGAAGCTGGAAGCATGTGGCAGTTTCACTGTTAGCATTGTTGGTGTTACTGAGCTTTAGTCACTGTGAAAGAGGACCGGGGGAGCTCTGGTGGCCCTGGCCCCCATCCTCTGGCCCCCATCCTCTGACCCCCACCCGTCTCAGGCAGCGATGGGGCTCTGTTGGCTCTGGCGGCTGCTTCCAGAGCTGACTCCGGTGATTCTAAGAATGGAAATGCCTCGAGAGTCTCAGGCACCAGGAGGAGGTGGGCGCAGCTGTGTCTGTGGCTCAGGAAGCCCTGAGGAATATTTGTTGTATTTCATGGGCCAGAGAGAGAGGGTGGCAGGGTCCCTCCCTTGGAGCTCCCCCAGGGAATCCACAGGCCCTGTCTGGGTGAGTTCGGGTGGTGGGGCTGGCGGGTTGGGAGCTGGGAGTGAGACTCTTGCCCTCCTGACTTGGGCCTCGCCAGAGGCTGTGCCTTACCAATGGGGAAATTGAGGCAATCTGGAAGCAACCAGTTCCATTAGCCACCGGGCTGTGCAGTGCTGAGGCTCCTTCTCAGCCTGAGGCCCAGACCCAGGGGTGTCTACCTTGGAGATGCCCTGAGCCTCAGATGCCAGCCTGTCTGGGTGGGGGCTAGGCTGAGGGGCTGTGTCTACAGTGAGCCTCCAGGTAGAGGTTGGGTGGGACTTGGTCCAGGTTAGCATGGCAGAGGGCTGGGGCCAGTATGGAGGCTTTCTCAGGTCAAGGACTGAGGGCCCATCAGGGAGAGCTGAGGGAGGTGCCCCGTGGCTTCGCCCTGCTCTCTTCTGGATGAAAGACTCTCCTGTTCCCAGTTGTGGGCCCACTCCTCCTCCCCAGGTGCCAGTGGCCTCCCGGCCCCACGGCAGCATCGTGAGCCTGGACAGAGAGACAGAGGCCCCTCAACCAGGGGAGCCAAGAAGGGAGGACCAGGGTGGGGAAGGGCTGGGGGGTGGCTTCTCCCCGCTGACGCACAGTCCAAGGAGTATGTCTCTTCATGTTGCAGCTCCTTTTCAAGCCTCCCTCTGCCCAGCTGGTACTGGCTGGTTCAGATTCTGGTGGGGTCCTGCAGGAAAGGATGAGGAAGGGTTTGGTGGCCCAGGAGATGCCTGTGGTCCCTGGGGTGGTCACAGAAGGTGAGAACTACACTGGATGGAGCTCTCCAGTCCCCCTAGGCCCATTCCTGTGGGTCAGAGCAGGCAAGGAAGCTCAGAGGGAGGCCCATACTGGGGAGGGGGCAAGTTCACTCCACATACCCCCCCACCTTTGCTCGCAGGAGTGGTCTGGGGGCAGTTGTGGCCAGTGCTGGCTGCAGCTTCCAAGTTTCCAGAGGTAGGGTGGGTAGGCCTCTAGTGCTCTAACTAACCCCCCTCCCCCCGCTTTAAGCTTCTGCAAACCCGCGGGAAGGGGGAGCGGGTCCAGGCTGGGGAGGTGGGCTCTGCTCCCTCCCAGTTCCCACGCGTCTGGGGAGGCCAAGCCAGCCAAGAACACCCCTGACCCCCCGCATGCCGCGCGCGCACACACACACACATATACACGCGAGGGGGTAGGGGGCATTGCAGGGAGGGGTGTGGCCGTGGGTAGTTGGGACGCCGTGACACCGCCGGGAGGTTTCCGGGCCAATTCTGCGAGGAGAGAAGGAGTGAGCGGGGCCGGTACCCGCGTGGGTGCGCCTGGGTACCAGGAGCGGTCCCCCGGCGCCCTCTGGCGGGCGGAAGCCGCGCCGCACCTGGGGGGGGACGGGACGCAGGACGGCGACAACCCCGCCCCCCAGGGCCCTTGGGTGGGCCCCGGCTTCCCCCCCCACCCCCCCGGGGGGCCGCGACGCCCGGACAGAGGCGGCAGGTCCGGCAGCGGGACTCCGCCCCCGCGCCTACGCGCGCCTAGGCTCGGCCCTGCCCTCCGCAGCGGCTTTCCCGTGGCTCCGCCCGCGGCCCAATTTCCAGGCGACTGTTTCCCAGCGACCGCACGGGTGGGGCGGTCTCGTCCCAACCCCCCCTACCCCCGTCAGCGCCGGAGAGGCCCCGCCTCTGGTTCGGGTGCGGGAGCGGGGCCTGCCTGTGGCTGCGACGCCGCGGGCGGCTCGGGGCGGGTCGGCAGAGGCAGAGGCATGGCACGCACGGCCCCCGGGGTCGGCGGCACCCCGGGTGGGCGACGTCCCTTCTCCCGGCCTCAGTTCCCGCGTCCGTAAAACGGGGGCGAGAACCGGGCTTCGGGGCAGTACCGCGCGTAAGTTCCTCCCGTAAGCCCGGCCGCTGTGGGCCTGACCGGGTCAGGGGTGTGAACGCAGCGATGGACTCGCTGGCAGCGCCCCAGGACCGCCTGGTGGAGCAGCTGCTCTCGCCGCGGACCCAGGCCCAGAGGCGGCTCAAGGTGTGTCTGCAGCGGGGAGTGGAATGTGGGTCAGTGTGTGTGCGCCCGCCGGGGCCCGGTACCGAGGGGCTCGGTCCCGAGGGGCTCTGGGACGTGCCAAGGACCGGCAGGGCCAGGGTCTGCAGGGGTGGGCAGTGGGGCCCCGCGGGCGGGGGAGGCTCGGTGCTGCTGTCTATAAATAGCCCCTGCTCCGCCTTGGTAGCAGCGGCCAGCCACCCCCGCTGCTGGATTACGGCCAGATGGGGCCTGCCACCCCCTGGTACACTGGGGGGGAGGGGGGAGTATTGAGAGCCCCCAGGGGGTTCTCCTGCCTGGGGAGGGGTCTTGGTCCCGGCGCCCTCTTCCCATCACCCAAGAGAGGGCAGCCCCTGCCTGCTGCAGCGGGACATCCCAAACTCTACACACTCAGACACATTGTCAGGTCCCTGCAAAGCCCCCTCACTGAGCCTGGGGCAAGGATGCCAGCCACCCCCTTACCTGCCTTTCCACCGCCAGGCCTTTGCCCACAGGCCCTCACCCCATTTGTGCCACTGAAACTCCCCACCCAGGGGACTCCACCCTCTGCTGCCTGCATATATGAGCCGGGGAGGGACCAGGGCATCAGACTGCCCCAGGAACCCCAGCATGCCCCTGACTTGCCCCACCCTGGCCCCCAGGATATCGACAAGCAGTACGTGGGCTTCGCCACACTGCCCAATCAGGTGCACCGGAAGTCTGTGAAGAAGGGCTTCGATTTCACGCTCATGGTGGCCGGTGAGTGGGCTGGACTCCCAGGTAGGGTGGCTTGGGCCATTAGCCAGCCAGGCTCTGTCACAGAGGCCTCAGACTTAACCTGACTCTTCCACTATACCTGCTGGCAGGTGAGTCGGGCCTGGGGAAGTCCACACTGGTCCACAGCCTCTTCCTGACCGACTTGTACAAGGACCGGAAGCTGCTCAGTGCTGAGGGTGAGTGGGCCCCAGGCAGCCCTGGTACTGGTTCCCCATCCCCTGCTCTGTGACTCTTCAAAAGGTCCAGACCCTGCTCCTCTCTTCCCACAGCATGGATCTCCTGTTCAGGGTCCAGGAGGAGCGGCCCAGATCATAATCAGGCCAGGGCCAAGACACTAGAAGGAATGAGAACAAGGGTCCTGGCTGCCCAGTGGGGGTGGGGGCTAAGAGTTGGAGAGACCCCCTCCAGACAATGCCCCCACCCCAACAGAGCGCATCAGCCAGACTGTAGAGATCCTGAAGCACACAGTGGACATTGAGGAGAAGGGGGTAAAGCTGAAGCTCACCATTGTAGACACGCCAGGCTTCGGGGATGCTGTCAACAACTCAGAGTGGTGAGCAAAACCCTGCTGGGGGACGGTCTCTGCCTAGGCTGGCCCAGCCTCCCCTCTGGCCTCACGGACCCTCCTGTCCCCCTGCAGCTGGAAGCCCATCACGGACTACGTGGACCAGCAGTTCGAGCAGTATTTCCGCGATGAGAGCGGGCTCAACCGCAAGAACATCCAAGACAACCGTGTGCACTGCTGCCTGTACTTCATCTCCCCTTTTGGGCACGGGTGCGTGAACGGCCCGGGAACAGGCTCGGGGGGTGGGGGCACCCGCCGCCACAGATCCCCATGGCTATACCGGCCACGGCCTATCCCCTGCCTGTGTGCCCCCAAGCATGCCCTCCCTGAGCCCGTCCCCACCTGTCCCCGGGCCCCTGCCACCCCCAGTCTGCCCCTTGCCACCCCTGGCTGCTCTCTGCAGGCTGCGGCCCGTGGATGTGGGTTTCATGAAGGCCCTGCACGAGAAGGTGAACATCGTGCCCCTCATTGCCAAAGCTGACTGTCTCGTCCCCGGCGAGATCCGGAAGCTGAAGGAGCGGGTAAGCCTGCTCTGGCAGGCGGGGCGTGGGCTAGGGCTCTGGGACGGAGACCACCAGGCGTGCGGGTCCTGGGTGCCAACGCAGCCGGCCCTGGGTACCTGGCCAGCCTCAAATTTGACAGCCCTTGCCCCGCCACAGATCCGGGAGGAGATTGACAAGTTCGGCATCCACGTGTACCAGTTCCCTGAGTGTGACTCCGATGAGGACGAGGACTTTAAGCAGCAAGATCGGGAACTGAAGGTGAGCAGCCTGGTGTGGCATAGGAGGGAACTGGAGGTCAGTTTACATGGGGCCAAGCATCCAGGTCCAATCCAGTGGGGACAGGAGTCTTTTGTCTGGCCAGTAGAGCCCCTTCACCTGGGGCTGGGGGGGGTACAGTCCCCCAGGTCCCCACTGGCTTGTGCAGTTTGGCCCCATATTGTTCATGTGTCACAGAGCACTTGCCAGGACCCAAAGGCATAGTGCTGGCCAGGCCTCCACTCTAACCCTACTCCTCAGTCTTCTTCCAAGGGGTCGCCGGCAGAAGGGTCTGGCCCAGGGCCCAGTGGCCACAAGCCTGGCTCTCAGAATTCTGAGCTCCAGTGGGTGGCTGTGGCTTTGGGTGCCCCAGGATCTAGAGTGGAAATAACCAAGCCCAACATGGGATAGGCGGCCACTGGGCCTGGAGCAGCATGGGGCCCTTGGCCCCAGCCAAAGTCAGCATCACTAACAGGAGGCACGGGCTCAGCTCTGGGGAGGGATGGCGAAGGTAGCTAGATGGAGCCATTCCTGATGGTGGGTGGTGTCAGAAGGGGAGGATGTGCCTGGTGGGCACCGCCTAGCAAAGGCCCCTAGGGTATAAGCTGTGCTGTAGCTCTGGCTTCAGAGAAGCCAAAAGAGTTGGGCAACCCCAGGATCTCTTTGGGGAGAGGCGGTTGACAATGCTGGAGGGGCCAACCAAGTGTGGAGTGCCCATGCCCCTGTTCAGCCACTAACCCCATACTCATGCTAAGTGGGCGTGAGCCCTTGTACCTGCCCTCCCCAGGAGAGTGCGCCATTCGCAGTTATCGGCAGCAACACAGTGGTGGAGGCCAAGGGGCAGCGGGTCCGGGGGCGACTGTACCCCTGGGGGATCGTGGAGGGTGAGTTCAGACATGGGGCATCGCCTAGGGGGTGGGAAGGCTCCCCTGGGCCTGCACCCACCCACCACCCACTCCTGCCCCACAGTGGAGAACCAGGCACACTGCGACTTCGTGAAGCTGCGCAACATGCTCATCCGCACGCACATGCATGACCTCAAGGACGTGACATGCGACGTGCACTATGAGAACTATCGGGCACACTGCATCCAGCAGATGACCAGGTGCGCAGCCCTGACCCAGACCTGGATCATGTGCCTCGTGGCCCCAGCCGCGGCTCCCTAACAGAGGACTGGTCCTTGCTGCCCACCCAGACCTGAACGTTGCCCCAACTCCCCAGATAAGCCCCCCCACCATGCACCTTGTCTTCCCAGAGCCAACCCAGTGGTGTGGGAGCTCAGAGGGAGAGGGCCTCAGTCGTGGTGGGTGTCAGACAAACTCTCTCTCCCTCTTGTTTGGCCCACAGCAAACTGACCCAGGACAGCCGCATGGAGAGCCCCATCCCCATTCTGCCCCTGCCTACCCCTGACGCTGAGACAGAAAAGCTCATCAGGATGAAGGATGAGGAGGTTAGTAGGGCCACAGGGGAGGAGCAGGGGCTGGGGGGGAGGGGTCAGGCCCCTGCTATCACGTTTCTCACTCCACCCTCCACTCTTCTTGCCTCACCTCCAGCTAAGGCGCATGCAGGAGATGCTGCAGAAGATGAAGCAGCAAATGCAGGACCAGTGACCCCACTGGGTCACTGTGACCAGCCCCACATTGCCGTGGATAGACTGCCAGTTTCCAGGCTGGCCCTTCCCATCCCTGGACCCCAACTGGCCTGGACTCAACCCTGGAATCATCTGGATCTCCAACAGGCCTGGGCACAACCCCAGTCCCAGAGTGACCTAGACCAGGACTGTTCCCAACTTTTCCTGACCTGACCCAGAGACGCGGGGTCACGGCCCCCAGCCAGCCCTAATTTATTCTCAGCATCGGTCCTTCCCCTCATTTGTATCTGCTTCCAAGAGGCCTAGAGAGCAGCCCCCCACAGCTGGCCCCCTTTGCCCTTGGGAGAGCAGCAGCTAGGTTGGGACATGACTTTTAAGATTTACCCCTGAACTCCAACTCCAGGCCCTACTCAGGCGGGTGGGTAAAACAAGGCAGAATAGGGGAGCAGATGCCCAGCATCCCGGACCTATTTCCCCACCCCAGTGCTGCAGAGTGGACGTGGGAGTCCTCATGTGCCCACTCCCTTGGGCCACCCAGCTTATGCTGAGACCTCACTTTGTGCCGAGGTGGGCCAGGTCCTTCCTTACCTCCTCACCCCCTTCCCGGGTAGCTCAGTGGGCGGGTTGGGCAACAGAAGCGCTCATGATCCCTCCAGACCGAAGGAGGGCAGCTGGCCACAGGCAAGGATTTCATGGGGCTGGTGGGCTGGGACGCCTGTGATCGCCCATACTCGTCACCCGTGGCTGTGGCCTGGCCTGAGGGCTCCAGGAGCAGTGGGTGGTGGGCAGCCTGGCAACCCCCTATCCCTAGACTGCCATTCCCTGCCTGTGGCTGGAGGTTCCTTCTCCCCAGCAGCACTGTTGCCCTGAATTCCCTAGCCCATCCAACCCCCACCCCCTACCCCCAGCATGATACCTTACCCCAAACCCCATTCTCCAGTTTTGTTCGGTTGTGAATGCTGCGTCCTGTCCTGGTGACAGGAGAACAATGTTGGTGAAGTCGCAGCGGTGTCAGAGCGATCCGTGCGCCCCTGGGAGTTTGTGGGGGCGGAAGCCCTGGCGGCCTGCGGGCCCTGGTGATAGGGCTCTATCTGGGGCCGCAGGGCCTGTCCCCTCGGCCGCCTCCGGGTTATTTCTGGGGGATGGCTGCGCTGTGGTCGGTTTGGCGGGGGCACTGGGGCCTGGCAGGGGCGGGGCGGCCTTATCGCCTGGCTCTCCAGCCAAGGCTTCGTGCTCCAGAGCAAGCCGGGTCACCATCCTCTCGCCATGGGCTCCGGTGAGTCTGGGGTCAGGCAGGGCCCAGGCTGCGCTCCTTGAGCCGAGTCGGGTTGGGAGGCGCTGCCGGAGGGAGATTTGGGTCGGACTTCGAGGGAACTTCTAGCCAGCGCGCGCGAGATGATGGAGATGGAGAGGCTTGCGGGCAATAGGGGGCTCGGCGCCTCGGGGGTAGGGGGTGCGGTAGCGGCTGGAGCAGGGCCCAGCGCTCCGGGTGCACAGGGACCCGCTCAGGTGCCCCACAGGCCGCCGGGCTCACTGCGGCGCTTCCCTTCCAGGGCCGCGCGGGGCGCTGAGTCTGCTGCTCCTGCTGCTCGCACCGCCCCGCCGCCCCGCCGCGGGTTGCCCGGCGCCGTGCGACTGCGCGGGGACGCGCGTGGATTGCGGGCGCCGCGGGCTGACGTGGGCTTCGCTGCCCGCCGCCTTCCCGCCGGACACGACCGAGCTGGTGCTGACGGGCAACAATCTGACGGCGCTGCCGCCGGGACTGCTGGACGCGCTGCCCGTGCTGCGCACCGCGCACCTGGGGGCCAACCCCTGGCGCTGCGACTGCCACCTGGTGCCGCTGCGCGCCTGGCTGGCCGGCCGGCCAGAGCGCGCGCCCTACCGCGACTTGCGGTGCGCCGCGCCCCCCGCTCTGCGCGGCCGCCTGCTGCCCTACCTGGCGGAGGACGAGCTGCGCGCCGCCTGTGCGCCGGGCGCGCTCTGCTGGGGGGCGCTGGCGGCGCAGCTCCTGCTGCTCGGCCTCGGGCTGCTGCACGCGCTGCTGCTGACGCTGCTGCTGTGCCGCCTGCGCCGCCTGCGCCGCCTGCGCGCCCGCGCCCGCGCCGCGCACCCGTGGTCGCTGACCGCCCCGCTGGTGGCGGAGCCGACCGGAGCCAGCGAGTCCCGAGAGGAGTCCTGAGAAGCGCTGAGCGACGCGGGCGCGCCGACCCGACGGAACCCTCCCGCGGGGGGCCCTCGCGCTAACCGGGACCGGGTCTCGTCCTCCGCCTGGGCACGACTGCCGAGACCAAGCCACCACCACCCCGCCCCAACCCCCGGCTGCAGGCCCCCGGGTCCGAGCGCGCCCCACTGCTGCGTGCCCGCCGCTATAGCCCCGGGCCCGCGGGGAGCCAGGGCAGGGGCGGGGAGCTGCAGCCCACAGCCCCTGCGGGGGTTCCCCCCACACACACCCCCGCGCCAAACCCCAGCGCAGAATAAACCCTTCTCCCTATCTGACTGGTTTCTGCGCCCCGCCACCCGGAAATTGCCCTCCGCGAACCGCAGGAAGGGCCCGGGGAGGCGGTTCCAGGGGACGCATCACATCTTTGTACACCCAGAATAACTGCCGGCCAAACACGGGGTCAGCGAGTGAACTCGCCGGGACCGCTCGCTCTCCCAGAAGTTCAAGCGGAAAGCACAGAGGAACTCGGACAGTGACCACACTGTGGGGCGGGGAGGACACTGCGGGGAGTGAGGACAGTGTGGGAACAGTGAGGCCACTGTCAGGACACTTCAGGGAGCGAAGACACTGTGGGGACAATGAAGACAGTGTGAACAATGAGGACACCGGGGAATGAGGACACCAGGGACAGCAAGGACACTGGGGACAGCGAGGACGCTGAGGACAGGACACTCGGGACAGTGAGGACGCTGTGGGGACAGTGAGGATAGTGGGGACAGCAAGGACGCTGGGGACAGCGAGGACGCTGAGGACAGGACACTGGGGACAGCGAGGACACTGTGAGGCAGGGAGGACACGGAACAGTGAAGACCGCAGGGACACTGAGGGCACTACAGGGCAGTGTGGGTAAGAGAAGGAGAGAACGATGTTTGCGGTAGCAGTCTCTGGGGGCCAGTGAGGGGCCGTGAAAAGGCTCTGAGGACTGTTCAAGTGTGAGTGGCCGTGACCGTGCCATGCGAGCAGCTTTCAGGACGGTCAGGGCTGGACTGGGGGTGGTGAGGACGGTCTGAGGGCCCACGGAACTCCCTGGGCATCTGAATTAGAAGCTCAGCCTCTGAGGCAGGTCCCTGCAGGGGTGAGTGGGTACCAGGCGGTTGCATGGTATCTGGAATCATGTCCTGCCCTTGGCTGCCACTTCCCACGGGAAGGTGCCTCTGACTGCCCAGACCAGTCTTAGTCCCTGAACCCCAGGCTGGGAGCCAGGGCATGGGACTCCTCCGGGGTGCCCCGGCAGGGCACAAGCTGCTAACAAGGGGTCTGGGGTGCCCAAATGAGGGCCTGATGCTTTCCTCACTCTGGGAGTCCTACCCCCACCCTTGGGTGGGCCCCCACCTGGCTGACCCTGTAAACAATAAAGGCTGCTCTCTGTGGACTCCAAATAGGACCCTGACAAGAAGCCTCAGGCCTGGGCCTGAGGTGCCTGGCACAGGAAGGCTCTGGCCCCCACTGACCAGGTCGGGAGGCTGCCGCTGACATGGCCTTTGTCCCAGTCTTTGTGGGACAAGATGGATGACCCTCCGGTTGGGCTGATGCTATCTCGGGGCTGCCGGTCAGACATGAGGCAGGAGGCAGCCCCTCCTTTGTGGGCAGGTGCGGGGCATCCGGCCCATTGTGGGCTGTAGCCAACTGTCCAATCGTCCATCCGGCCTTATCACCACATCAGGGATGGTGGCCCCTTTTGTACAAATGAACTGCCCCCCTCCGCACCCCCAGGGATGGCTCAGCACACTCAGAGCCCCTGGTAGGGGTCAGAGGTAACAGTCGTTGTCACAGCAAGGTACACAGGCAACCTCCCAACTCAGTCCCAACATGGTACAGGGAGAGAGTGTCCCCCTTACTTTCCAGAGGAGGAAACCAGATGCCAGAGAGGGGCCCTCCTGCTAAGCTGGAACTACCTCCACAGCTGCACTGGGAGCAGACCTAAGACCAGGCCCCTGGGGCTCCTCTCTCTTCCTCCTTCCTGAGGTCTTCCGGGGGCAAATGCAGGGCCCAGGAGAAAATGACCTGGACATCCTAGGTGACCCCAAGCTAAAAGAAGGCAGTCCCCCTGGGCTGTGAGGTGAGGCTCCAGCAGGAACTATGGGGAAGGATCAGTAGGAGCCCAGGTCCGCTGCCCACTGCCCACAAGCTTGAGGGCTTCTGGGCCAGTGTCCAGCTGAGCGGGTGGGCACACAGCCCTGAGAGCCCAGAGCTGCAGAAGCTGCTGGAGCTTCTCTGATGGAGGAAAGAGGCTGGCATCACAGTGTGGTCAGACCTAAGGAAGAACTTCCTTACTCCCTGGTAGATAGGGCAGATGAATTTCATGGTTTCTCCAAGATTCTCTCTCTTTTGCCAATTCTCCATGATTCAGATTGGCTTCTGCCAAGGTACTGAGCACAGAGGGTGCTGGCCTGGCCTCACTGGCTAACCTTTTCCAGACTGCCTGGGAGCGCCCAAGCCCAACTTCTGACCCCGAGCTGACCCTCCATGCACTGACCCTGGGGCCTCAGCTTCCAAGGAGTGTGGAGAAGAGGATGGTCCCAGCTCAGCGCCCCTGAATGGCCCAGTGCTGGGAGGGGAGTGTGTACATCTCTACCCGGGCTCAACGGCCTATCAGGACCCTCCCCCCAGCGTTGTCCTCCATCTAATGGACAACATACCTGCCCCAGGCTCTGTTCCCCACTGACAGTCTGGCCCTCGCTGTGGCCTCAGACTCCTTCCAGATGGGAACACGGCGGTGACCACTCAAGGCCCTACCTACCCATCCCCCCCACACCTCGAGTCCCCAGGCTGGCTGATTCAGGGCCCTTTGCCCAGCAGCCCAAGGGTCCTCTGACCACACCACGGCCCACCCCTGAGCAGGGGCAGACACAGCCGGGACCTCCCGCCGGTAGCTTTCGTGTCCTTGTCTGTGAAATGCGTGGGTGCCACCTGGGCTGAGAACCTCCCGTCCCAAACCGGCATCCAGTTCTCCCCTCACTCGCCACGACCCCGGCAGGCCACCAGAGGGCGCGCGCGGTCTGTGGAAACCGCCCGCGTGGGGCTAGGGCGGCCGAGGTGGGCGCCGCATGTGCAGGCAACCAGGGCCCCCGGAGAAACAGAGGCCAGGAGTGGGAGGATTTGCCCAGGCTGGTGGGGGTGGTCGCCGACTCGGCGGACGGGTCGCACCCCCACCCCGTGGGAATAGGGAAGGGTGCTACGAGCGGCCGCTAACAGACCGCGAGGGGTGAGGGCGCTCCTTCTGCGTCCCTCCCCACCCCTCCCCTCCCCTCTCCACCCGTCCCCTCCCCTCCCTCTGATCGCTGACAGCCCATCAACGGGGAAGATAAGGGACCTCTTCCGCCGGGCGGAGGGGGTGTCAGCCCAGGTGCACCATCCGCCCTCCCGCCGCCTGTTTGCTCAAACACTTATTGAGCCCCTGCTGTGTGCACCGTGGCGGGGCTGGAAGGAGCTGCTGCTTGGCGCGGACGTGGAGGGCAACTGTGAGGAGCTGGCCTCAGCCGCTTCTGCTGATACCGGGTGGCGGTAGAGCGCGCTCCCCTCCACCCCGGGGGAGTGGAACAGAGGCTGCGCCGCCACCTCCCAACCAACCTGGGGGCGGGGGGGGTGTGCGCGGCTCCTCCGTGGGCCCCCTCCAGCCTAGGGAGATGAGCGGGAGCCTGGGGAGGGGGGGCGGCCCCTCACTGGGCAGAGACTTGAGTGGGGCCCGCGTGGACGAGGCCCTGGGAAGGTCTGGAGGGGCCTAAGCTCTGGCCACGTTGTGTGTGTGGGGGGGCCGCACCCGCCGCCCAGACAGAGCAACAACATTGGGGTGGGTGGCGGGGCCCTGGGGGCCCATAGCTCACCGCACCGTCTGCGCCCACCCCCGGCGTTTCCGATAGAAGACAGGCAGCAGGCGATAAATCACCGGCTCCCACTCCCACCCACCCAGGCTGCCTTGGGGAAGGGGGGCTGCATGTGACAGAGACAGAGCTTAAGACAGAGACAGAGAGAGACAACCACAGAGAGAGACAAAGGAAGCTAGGGCTGGCCATTTGACACCCGCCAGGTCCCTTTGCTCAGGGTGTCTGGCCTCCCACCCCCAGGTGCCCCTTCCACCAGTCCCATCTGGAAACCAGCTGAGAGCCACCCCACCCCAGCCGACCCCCAACAAGGAGGAGGTGGAGGGAGGGAGCAAGGCCTTAGCAGCCATAACTCTGTCCACCCTGGAGAACCATAAATCAGGGGGGTGCTCTCGGGAAGCACTCCCCCCCTAGGCTGAGGGGGGTCTTTGGGGTCACTGGTCCTGGTGACTGGGCCTGGCCTTAGCTGTTTTGTCCCTCCCTCCTTAAACAGCCCCTGGGGGAATCCCCCAGGCCCACTTCTGTTTTTCGGCAGCACAGTCACATGCCCAGAACCCTCTACACCCAGTGCTGTCTCCACTGGATGCACTCAGTGGGCCCATCTTCTCTGTGCACAGACAGGAACCGTCTGCAGGGGATGACATCCTGTCCTATCAGGAGAGCCCCTGGGCTGGCCCTGCAGGACCTGGGGGTCAGCCGTCCTCCCCCGAGAAGCCCTCCCAGGGGGTCTGCTCTGCCCCAGAGAAACACTGTCTGTCCCTCCTTCTGTCCTGCTTTCCTGTCACCACCACCCCGCAGGGTCCTGAGGGCCAGCTGCACAAAGGATGTTGAGAGATGGACCAGGTGAGGACCCCTCCACGGGTGTGAACACCCCCTGGGTGGGGTCAATATTCAGTGGGCAAAACCTGAGAGAGGCTGTGGGAGTGCTCCCAAGACCTGTGGGGTGTTCCAGGCCCCCAGTTCCAGCCACTGGCATCAGCAATCCCTGCGCCAGGGGTCCGTCCAGCAGACCACCCCTCAGGGCTCACGTGGCAGAAATAAGGCCACTTGTACACAGGGAAACAAATGTCCACCATGAAATCTCTCAAAGAGCAGTGGGAGCAGGGACAGGGGCTTCCTTCAGAGCTCTTGAAATTC